CCTACAAATCCCAAGCTCTTGCATAACTTTAAATTCATTTTTAGCTTTAACATACCTGTCTGGTGGTAGCTGCCTACTTTTCACGTGCACTGGTGGTCCTGTGGTCTCTATGTGATGACAAACGCCATGTTTAGGTGTCTCCTTATATGAAACAGGCATAGTTAACTCGGGAAACTTACATAATAAATCATAATAAGGGCAATTATCAACAATTGTCTTTACAGTGGACTCAGTTGAACTCGAAATGGTACCTCTAATGCTTAAATTAGTTAACTGATCGATTAATCTTCGTCCGTTCAAATCAATTAACAGCTTATGCTTAGCTAAGAAGTCAGCACCTAATATTGGTTGCTGTACGTCCGCTAATATAAATAACCAACGGAAAGCTCTTCTAAGGTTAAGATCTAACTCTAAAAAATGCGTACCATATGTATTAATCTCGGTTCCATTCGCGGCATACAATTTATAACGTACATTATTTTTATTACCTTTAATATGTGCTATGCTGCGGGGTAGCACAGACACATTAGCACCGCTATCCACTAAGAAAGTTAAACCTGTTTTCCTGTCCATCACACAAAGACGGTTGTTAGAATCTACGCGGCCACAGCCTCCCGTCGTCGGCTGCACCGACGTTAGTTTTCCGACGGCTTGACATCTTTCTTCCAGTTGCACGGCTGGACGCACTTATTTGCCCGATTCTTGTATCGATAATGATAGTAACACAACCAATTGGGATCTTCAGGTGTCTTCCCACGCGTCCTTGACTCTGATGACGATCGCGATCTTGATCCGTAACGCCTTCTGTTACTTTTCTGCCAGTGCCTTCTTGATCTAGTTTCTAATTTTTCAAGTCTTTCGCTTATTTTATCAAGGTGGGCTATTACCAAATCGTCTTTATTCAAGGTCAGCGATTTTCCTTCCACCGCAGCGATACTGGGTATTTCGGTAGGCATGTTTAACGTAATCACGACTCGTATAAGTACCGATATTAAAAAAACAACACTACAGCACAAGTGAGTTGCCCGTTCTAAACAGTCTCAATCTGTACACAATATCACAAAAGTTCTTTAAAATTACCAAATCACAGTTCAGTCGGGGTCACCACTTTTGTAACTGGTCGTTACTTTGTTCCTTTATTACTGGGGTTGCGTATGTGTACAGAGAGAAATAATAAGTCTATGAACAACTTATTTAAATTTATTAATCACGACTGTATACAATATATATGGGTGTGCTGTAGTACGGTATACAAGACGACCACGGGACAACTGTGGTTCACAGCGCACTACAGTACCGATAACTCAAAACGTTGCGTCAGCATTCCCGCAACAATAAGTATATGTTTTTATGTGCCTGTTCTAGTGGCCACTCTAATCTATAGGACTAAATTACGGGTACATATCCTTGAACGCCAAATAAATAATTTTAAACCAAAATATACGATTTTAAACACGACATGAAAACATTTGAATTTAAAACTTTTTTTAACTGCCGCCATATTGGCATGCCTTTATACATGCTAGATCGCGTCAATATAAGTATTACTGTGAGTACAACCTAGCTGAAACTTCAGGAAATTCAAAGATATGTGATAAGTGATCGTATGTATATATTCTAAAATAGGAGATCCATGCTTCGGCAAACTTAGGCCGGCTCGATCAGAGTAATACAACGGCCTCACAGAAAACCAGTAAAAAGCAATTAGCAAGTTTTCAAACTACTAAATTATACCGGCATCAAATCAAAAGCAGTACCGTTGCTGCAGTTTGAAATGGAGTACTAACTCTGTATTTAAATCCTCATATATTCCAATTTCGTAAACAATTAGTAGTTCTCGGATACGACAGTGCTATGAAATATTGAGTTAATGTTTCCACCCTCCTCTTGCACTTAAAATAACTGGTATCTTCGCAAGAAAAAGGAACATTTTCGATTAATTTTGTGCAGTTACAAAGTTGTATTTTTAACCTGAAGACAGTTGTTAGCAGCAACTTGGAGTTTAGAAGTTTATTTTGTTTGTTTTGATACATCATCGGTTCCCTTCCCTTCCTCACCATCAGTGATAAGCTGAGGAAAATGTTTGTCGTGAAAATAATGGGCTTAGTTAAGTAAAACATTTTCAAGAAAGTTTTATATATTTTCATATCTTAGAAGTAAAATTTGACGACGTCTGTTTTCAATGACTCAAATTTTAAGATCTGAGAATTTAACTGCAGGTATTATCTGTCTGCCACGAAGAGTGTTTTGGGAAAACATGTTTGTAATTTATAGATAGTTTGTTGATGTTCCTGTCCTAGCCGTCACCAAAGTGCGTACCATTTTGCGGTCTATTAGGCTGAACAGTTACTGTTTTCGTACTAAATATTGTCTTGTTTATGAGAAAAAATCTCCGTGACAAATTTTTCAACCTGAAACCGAACCCTGCATCTCATGCTTACACGCAAATGTAAATAAATATAATCTTACGCCATATTACATACGTACCTTATAGATACTTGAGATCATAAAAAAAAGTTCAAAATATCAAATAAATTACGTTATGTTTACTGACAAATTTTTGTCTGTGCAATACATTGCCAGAAACTATCATACCAGCAAATATATTATTATTATATATTTCTAGTGTATTTAAGTACTCGTATATTCGTTTGTAAGCATGTTTTCATGTGTATCGTTGAGATATTTATACGTCTTTTATATTATTTCTCATTAGTTTTTAGTTTATTTGCTCTGTCTGATTAACTAACTTAACTTAACTACTATAAAACAGTATAGCCCGTACTTTGGTGTTCTCTAAGGGCGCGCAATCGCGATAAGACCGCCTATTGTACTGTGGCAATTAACATTCTATCTGTGTTCCAACATGCCTGCTTATAAAACATTTATTCCTCTGAATAGCCGATTTAGTCTTTTGGAAAGAAAATACGTAGATTATTTTTCCAACATCTTATCATAAACGTACTTGTTTAAAAAGTTAAAAGTAGAACTGTTAAATAACGTCAACTTATAGGTCGTTCTGCTATTACCTAACTATCAAATCTGAAACATTTAGCAAATGTAAGCAGCTAAACGAACATGGTGATCGAGCCGCCAGTAAGTCTGGGTTTGTGTCAAGTTTTCCTTCTCTCTGCAGTCCTTTTATACTTAGTTTGAATTTGGCATCTTATATATTATTGATGTGATAAAAGGATTTGGTAATCGACCCGTTATAAAACGGTTAATGGTTAATGCTTAATACTTTATTTAAGAATGGTTAATGCTTTAATTAAGCTTCATCAGTATTTACTTTCTCTACTATAAGACAGGTCGAATTATAGGTCTCCGATAGTAAATTGAATGTTACTGACATTATACTAGTACAATGACAGTGGATCCGACTCTGTCATAATGCCTACCTACCTGCCTGTTACCTGCGGTTGTTGTTGTACCTTGCTCATCGCAGGAACACTACCTTTATTCGAGATAAAAATTAGCGTACGTGTTAATCTAGGGTGTCAGCTACCTCCATACCAAATTTCATCAAAATTAGTTTAGGCGTTGGAGCGTGTAGAAGGTACAAACACACAAATACAGCCACTCGCAAACTTTTACCATTTTAATATTAGTGTTATTCTTGACTTTTTTCTATTATTTTTCTCATTCTGTTTTCTTTTTAAGGAGACGAAATATTCCAGTGTCTATATACGAACCAACTCATTCAATTGTACTACGTGAATTTAATTTATTGGCAGTAATATAGTCTTTAAACACGTGTTCGGGTTTTAAGCCATCTCGAACATAGCTCCAGGTTCCAATTTGACTAGGTATTTTCTATTAACATTCTTAGCTGGCACGAGGAATACGTGACGTCAAGCTTTGAGGACATTCTCAGAGAGGTTTTATAATAGGGGATTTATAGAGGACGTATAATATATAAATGTAGATATAATACGATTATCTTAATGCCATAATAAATTTGAAACTTAAAAATTAAAATTATAATATTTAATAAATTTACACATCCCACTCACGGGCCATCTGATCGAAACTAAGCGGAGCCTGTACTATGGTAACCAGACTGCTGATGGACATATTATATATTACATTGGATGGACATATTATAGACACAGATCAAAAGATCGTGCTCATCACACAATTATTTGTCCTGGGTGGGAATCAAACTCAGAACCTTTGGCTTAGCAGCCAGGATCGCTAATTTCCAAAGTAGTAGACTCATCAAACGAATTGATGATTATTACTCAATCACGTCAGAACCTCTGAATGAATCTGGATGAAATTTAACGGAGAGACAGTAATATTTTTTTTGTTTATGTACTGTGCTGATGTCGACATTTCTGCCGAAGTCAAATGTATGATGAACGAAACATAACTTCTGAAGGACATCACTGCACTGAATGTGATGTTTTGGTTGTAATTAATACAATTTAAAGGATAACAGGTAAAAGTTTGATGGTATTACACAGTATAAAGATCATAAGCGCTTGGAAGAGTTCTGGAGATCAATAGGGCATTCATCATCTAATCAAATTTCTTAAATTCCCATAGAGCAGAGGTAGATCATAGTTTGGAATAGCACGTAGACTACTTTTTGTGAGTTATGTCGACACTAACCCGAACGATGCCACTACCAAAAGCCCATAATAACAATACAGTACAGTACAATATAAATTCATCATCATCATCAACAGCCTGTAACAATCCACTGCTGAACATAGGCCTCTCCTTAGAAAGGAGGTTTTGGCCTACTATACCACGCTAGCCAGACGGGCTGATATGGGGATTTCTTCAAGTTTTCTTTCTCTTTGCAGTGCTGTTATCCTGCATAGCTTGCTCAATTAGTCGGCTCTTACGACACCCACGGGATGAATAGGGGTGGTGACATTCCGTATTCTTAATCCGTCACCACCACGTTACCAACTCATATGTATATACTATGATAAAATTCTAATACATTGTTTCACTGCTTAAATCCTTTACGAACACGACACGACATTAAAATGCTCATAAAACGATCGCGAAAGTAAGTATAATTATATGCAAAAACTTCACTTCAACAGGTCTTACAAAGCTCGGTTTATGTGTATTCAACGTACGTAAAACATGGCTTGATGGGTACAGCAGGCTGTTCATGAACGACATTACACGGTCCGTTAATTAGGTGTCGACAAAATGAGGTAATGTTACGTTGTTATGAAATTATATAATACACGATGGTATCACTCCACAGAATTCTGGTTTTATTAAACGTGACGTTTGTCTTAATTGAGTGTTTTAATTTTTTAAGTATAAATGTTTCAATGTGATCTTATTTTTTGTCAATGAAAATATTTGAAAAACTCATCTCTGAGTAAAGATCTTCTGGCCCTAAGAGTACCTATCCCTGTCAATTAAAGCCCACAGGTAGATAAAGTAGGGCTCAAGGAGACATTTAAAAACTTATAATGTTCTTACAAGTACGTTATTAAGTGCTTATTAGCTCCCAAAAATAAGATCAATAATCGATATCCCTCAAATTTTTCCCTCCCTGCTAGTTACTGTTTCGTTTCTGGATTCAGGTTAGAAGAAAGTTATCTTTATAGGTAAGGTAACATAATTTCAAGGTAATACTTATTTATTATTATATATTGAAACTAGCCCGCGACTTCGTTTGAGTGGAATTTGAAAAGCGCTACCTGAGTGGATTCGATTCCCGAATCGGGTAAAATTTTACAGGGTTTTTCTGAAAGAAAAATAATTGCCCAAGTTACTCCTTATATACACAGCTACTTGGTAGTAACATGTTATCAAATTTGATGAAGCCGTTTTGTAGATTACCCGAGACAGATAAACAGACAGACAGACAAAAATAATAAAAAAAAAATTAATTTAAAAGGTACCGTGCAAATAACAATAATGTCAAAATAATAGGTTTCTTCATGCTCACATGGAGCATGGTTGGTATAGATAAATGTCTAGGATAACATCTAAACCAAACCATGCAAGAGCCATGCTTCGGCACAAATGAGCCGGTCGGCACGACTCGACTGATACCAGGGCCTCATAGACAATCGGTGTTGCCTTTGCCAAGTGATAACCGGTGAACCAATTACCAATCAACCAACCATTTTGGGGAAGGGGGGGAGATTTACTAAGTGTAGCAATGCACTTATGACTCTTGAGCTAAAGGTAGCACGTATGGAGTGCCGACAGAAGTGGAAAATTAAATATATTATGTACAGAGGTGTCGGTAACGGTAACAGTGTCCCGAGTTGAGTTATTTGTTCCAATCTCAAAAAATTCCCAACTTGCCTAAAGAAATTTTCACTTTAATAGAGGCGTCGGTAATGGTCAAGGTAACAGACCTGTCGCGAGTTCAATTGTTTCCCCCCATCTCAAAAAATGAGTTTTTTGTTAAACCATGAAATAAATTATTTTGTTTCAAAAATGCCCAACGCGCCTTAAGAAGTTTTTACTTCAAAAACAGTAAATACATAAAGGAATATCGCAACTAAGACAAAGAGCGGACACGACGTTTGCCGTTCATGTATATCTTTCTTTAGGCACTAAAACTCTGTGACAATTTAAAGCTTGTTGGAAGACTTTATTAGCTACCGTTGTCGCACGTAAAAATATACTGTTCCTCAAATTTCAGTGTATTGTACTTCATTTTATGTTACCCTATTATCTACTATAATGCTGAAACGCATGCAACTTTAAAAGTATCAAATAAAAATATAAAGGAAATCCTTTTCTGTGAAAGCCTTGATGTACTGGCAAATAACCACGTCTTTCAAGTTACAAACAATGTTAAGAAAATATTAGAAGAAAATGTTAAAATAAAATAACTGTTGCATGTGTTTGATAATGTGTGAGAGATTTTATTAATTAAATAAATAGTAATAATAATATATTTTACTACATTCACACAACGCCATCTAGTCCCAAACTAAGCAGAGCTTGTACTATGGATACTAGACAACTGATATAAATACATATATACTTTTTTTTGTAAATACATACATATTATACATAGAAACACCCAGACCAAATCAAACATTAAATGTTCATGCACACAAATGTTTGACTTGAGCGGGAATCGAACCCGTGACCTTTGGAATAGCAGTCCGTTACACAAACCACTACGCCATCCGGTCGTCAAATTTGGACTTGCTTGTAATGAGATAACACACTTATTGTAATGTTTAAATTCTAATAATAATATTCATCAAAATGATTCTAATATATTATTACATTACAAAATGATTCTAATAGTACAAAAACTTATGTATCGCTGGAGTGTTAGGCGGAGCGCAGAGGTCTATCCTACATCCATTTCTTACATTCATATTATTCAAGCTATAATTTTCTTCAAATTCAATATGGAACACTTAATTCTTGTCATTTATCTGCATATTTGACTACACGGATGGCGTAGTGCTTCAAGCGATCGCCACACCCGACGCTTCCTACTGCGCTGAGTGTTGTGGATTCGATCTTCACATGGAACAAAACGTTCTGTGATCAATAAATAGTTGTTCTGAGTTTAGGCGTTCTTTGTGTCCGTTTCATGTATGTTTGCAAATTTCCTCGCGTTATAGTATAAATATAAAAATATATGCCTTGACTAAGTAACAATTTGCATAACATTTTCACTGAAATACTAAAAATTAAATATTTTCAACATTTAAGTCTGTTAACCAAAATAAAGAGGATTGATCGAGATGAGAATTTGTCCCAGACTTGTATTAGAGTCCGAATCCCTATACATGCATACATGTACATACATGTTACAATCTAAATCATCACCACCTATACATAGACTCTAAGAGAAGAGCAAAAGAGTTGACAGCATTCATGTGACCTTGACCTCTATCTATTGAGCCAAAACTCAATAGTTTATCTTATAATTACATGAAAAAATATATTTAATTTCAGTTTATGTGTACCTAATAACTTTTTTATACACGTTGCCAGTGATATAGCAACTGATATAGAGCACCATTTACACATAAAAAACATATAAAAAAACACACCCAGGACAAATATTGTGTGATGAGCACGGTCATTTGTTCTGTGTCTGGGTGTAATTTATCTGTAATATGTATGTATTTAAAACCATATAAGTATGTTTATCAGCAATTTGGTTACTATAGTACAGGCTCTGCCTAGTTTGAGATCAGACGGCCGTGTGTGAGATGAGTGCTATATATTATTATTTTTATTATCATAATTTCCACGTTTCTTTCCTCGAAGGGATAGACAGACGGAAATCGAATGCCGTACAGACAATTAGGTACACCCAGACACAGAATACATAATCATGCTCATCGCACAATGTTTGTTCTGAGTAGGAATCGAACTCACGACCTCTGCAGCAGTCATAATCGACTAGACTAACCATAGATTAGAAAAAACTTGTTAGCAAGACTAAACTACCTTTGTTGAGTACTAAAGTTGATTTGTAGCTAAATTTACGTCAGTACCAAAGTTAATATTACATTTATTAGAATCAAAAGCTTCATTGCATAGTTTCCTGTTACCAGACGCATCTACATAACTGCGTTAATTAATTCGATGTAAAAGGGTTTATGTATACAATACATATTTAGGTAATTAGTACAAAGAGAAAACTTGAAGTGATAAACATTTCTATTCAAAACTATCAAGCATAAAATCATTTCACTCAGTTGAAATTAAAAAAAAACAGCAATAGTTTTAAATAAAATTAAAGAAAATGCTCTTTGGAATCTTGATCCTTTGTATTTTCTGCTAATCTTTAGTTTTACACCTCTCCATGTTAAGGTTAAATTCTTGTGATGTCACGTAGAGCGAAATGGTAAGAAACATGTATCAACCTTGTAAACGGTATCACGAGCTATTAAGACCGCCATTGTATGCACCTGATGCTCATTGGACAACGTGCTCCCCTCACTCCTTACAAGTTGACTCCGTCTAGTCTCCGCCTTAAGTTTGCAATATAAGCGTATTTCTTCTTTCACCCCTTTCACCTTTAACTTTTTGTTGGGTCTTAAATGACACATCTGTAATAAATTTTCAATCGAATATTTGGAAAAAAATTCAAAAATGGTTTTGTGAAATCAGTAAAAAATTTACACCAGTGGGTTACAGTTACACTCTTGCTGAGAGTATTGGAGACGATTTGCCAACTTACTTTTAACTTAGACCTTAGCATGAAATTTAGCTTTTCTATATACATGCATAATAAACCTTCCATATTTTACTTTAGGTTTATATTATACCAACAAGAAATGCTTTAATATAATTTACAACCATCGAAGTCGTGATAACAGCCACTTCATCAAATACAATAATCGATGATTAAATGGCTGCAACAGAACAAGCTGTCTTCTCAATAAATATTGAATTACTGCAGTACAAATAAACTGCATAAAGTATTTCAAATGTTTATTTTTATCAAAGGAAATATCATTGTAAACAAACAAAATCTGTTTATTTTCAGTTGCAATTGCGTTACGGGAAATATGATGTACAATATAGTACCTTGTTGTAAGGTTGGTTGTGTTATTTGTAGTGTGAATATCAAACAGTTATGAAATGTGTTTGGCTAAAGATTTTTTTCGAATTTGTTGTGTTATTGCAAAGAACATTTTCAATTTGAGAAAGAAGTATTTTTTAATAAGAATCAATAAATTCATAGTTTTATGTCTGTTTTTAATGTGTAGCATAGTCATTTTTTACGTTAGAACGTCTGCTTTGAATTCAGTGGCACTAATAGAAGGAAAAGAACAATGGAATGCATCATGTTATGACATAGAAGAGGGCAACACTTTGGAGTTATTTGAAAATTTGGAGTTCCCTCCCAGTCTGAACTCAATTTTCTTCATCGAAACATCATGTCGAGGACGACTTACCTCTCGTCAAGCGTGTTCTATCGAGGCTGCTGCTAGAGCTCACCCAAGAAGTATAATTTATGTTCTCTTTAGTGCTCCAGTCTCAAAAACCATGGTAAAAAGTAAAATTTTTGCAAGACTACTTCTATTCTATAACATAAAATTTGTAAGAATATTATTCAGAGACTACGCTAAAAATACTCCATTAGATATGATGATTGCAACAACGCCTTTCTACAAAAGCAAATGGTGGATCGAGCACTCGTCTGACATTTTCAGGTATTTGACGCTTTATAAGTATGGTGGCATATATCTGGACACAGATATGTTAGTGGTAAAGTCTCTGGAACCTCTTGGATATAACTGGGTGGGCAGACAAGACAATTTATCCGTTAACGGTGCGGCCATTGCTCTATCTCTGGATAAACTTGGACAAAGAGTAGCCAAAGCTTTAGTCATGTACGTAAATACTTCGTGTATCTCAAAACAATAAAAATTGATGCTGATTTGATACTTAAACTTCCTCAGTACATGTTGATATCTTCTTTTTCCGCAGGGAATTGAAAACTTCGTACAGGTATGATCTTTTTGGCCGTAATGGTCCAGAAGCCGTCACAAAGGTTCTACAAGAAATATGCAGCACGCCCAACGTTACCGAGTGGTCTTCTGAGACGTGCAGTGGTAAGTTATTCAGTCTATTACTAATTTAGTAATCCAAAACCTCCTTTCTAGGGAGAGGTTCAGCCAGTCGACTACGAAGGACTGTTAATGATGATGATGATACCGCAATTATCGAAACCAATTTTTTTTAAAAGACACCTCCCCTATTAGCATTTATTATCCTGTGTCGCGAGGGAATTTACAAACATAAATGTAATGAACACAAAGAACACCTAGACTCAGAACAACGATTTGTGTGCTAATTAATATATCAATCTTGCCAAGCTAGCTAAGCTATAGATTGAAAGTGTTATTATCCTTAATTTTTTATAAGAGAATTAATAGTATAAGTTTATAAAGTTGAAATATATAAATGTTATAAAAATTCTTTTGTTTCAGGATTTAAAGTGACTGATGTGGATTATTTTTATCCGATTTATTACACTAACGTCCAGTTTTACTTCAATTCCAGTAGATTTCCCCACAATTATAAACAAGTTTACGCTTATCACTTTTGGAATAATCTTTCGTCTAAAATTAAAATTACGAAAGGTTCTCTGTACATGAAATTAGCTGAAGAATATTGTCCCTCAATATTTCAAATTTTCAATGAGAACTTTGGGACTTAAAAATATGTTATAGTCTAGTAAATGTATTTGAAAGTGACATTTGTTAAAACAACAATATATTCATGTTGTATTGAACATAAATGGTATAAAAGTTGTGAATAATTTGACATAAAAAATAAAATAGATTGCTTTGTTACATACACTTTTAATTAATTTAAGGAACTCATACTGTAACAGAAATATTATGAGTACCTTTGATAATGAAATAGCTCACTTATTAAAATAAAAACAACTGAATTACCCAATACAAATGCATACATTTAAATATACATATTGAATAGTAAAAACCTTCGCATTAATCACTATTGTCATTTTCAGCACGAGACGCGTATCTGCTGCTGTAATTGTAAATATTGATTTGTTTCTTACACATATATTCCTCAAAACTGCGTTTTTAGTTTTTATTACATTTTGTCCTGAGCAAAAGTCATTTCAAATGTTTTGATAGTTACGATTTTTGAAAATATGAACTATTTCAGCGGCTGAGAGCTCGTTCACTGAGTGTTCTTTGCGCATGTTCAGCGTTCGTGTGAATTAATTACATTTCTATCATAACGTGTGGCGTCTGTATTATATAATATTATTGATAATATCTGGATGAAAATTTGTAGCTAAAATATTATGTAAATAGTATGTAAAATGTTGAGTCAAGACACAAGGTTGTTAAGCAAAGAAGGAAGTTTGAAGAGTTTCATACGATGTTTCAAATATGGCAGGGAGGAGAGGAGAGGATTGCAGTGACAGTTTTTGATGACCATATTAAAATATGATTTTGATTATTTTGTATTAACTTAATAATCGTCTCGCCGCTGCAAAACAAAAACGGAGCACGCACACGAAATAAGCACGCTGCTGCCCCGCTCCGCTCGGACGCCACTCAGTACACCTACGTATTATTTATTTATTTTTAGTTTTATTTATGACTTCATGACAAATGCATACATCAGCGGACTTAGTGCCTAAAGCCAGCCGAGCGATTATGGCTATGCATAGAAAGAATGAGGTAGGTGTATATATGCATACATACACACACACATATATAGATAATAATAATAGTTTAGGACATCTGACACACAACGCCATCTAGTTTTAAATTAACCAGAGCTTGTACTATGAAAGCTAAAATGACTGATATAGAATACTTATATACTTTTTTTTTGTAAATAAATACATGTTATAGATAGAAAACACTCAAACTCCGAATCAAATATTTGGTCCGACCCGGGAATCGAACCCGAGACCTCGGCACAGCAGTCGCATAAGTTACTACTACACCACCCAGGCAGTCATCGAGGAATATTATACATATAAGATACAGATATTATAATAAAATATAACATTTCTGGGTGTTGAACTAAGAGCTTGTTGATTCTGCCAATTCACTCAGCAAAAGCTCCTTCAATTCCATCTTAAAAGACTAAAGATTTGTAGCCTGTATTAATGTGCGCGTGTGGCGTTCGTGTCAAACAGATGTTTGACACGAACGCCACACGCCCTTCCCCACTGGACCTTCGATTTGAGTGGGCACTCAGGACGTATATTTCGACATAAAATATAATTTATGTATATATACCATATTAACTTCAAAGCATTCAAGATATTTATGTTGAAACCTATATACGCTTCAGAGACTATTAAGACGGGCCCCAAAAGTTATAAATAAGTCTTCGATTGATTTTTACAATCAATACCGAATTACCAGATAGGTACTATCGTTTTCTATATAAATGGTAAATCTTTTTGCTCTACACATTACTAACACCACGTTAAGCTCAGAATCTAGAAAAAATGTTAAATTTTGTACCTTAATAGACAGGCGAATTACACGCTGACATTTTGCCGATAACAATTTCAGTTCCTCTTACATAATAGCAGACCAGCCTATTGTCTTCAATCGAACACATACATTGCTAAATAAATATAATTATACATTAGTTTTTGCATCATAAGTTACATGCAGACACCCATAATATTTGTCCTGGACGGGTTTCGCACCCACCACCTCTGGCTTAGACCAACAGGCCACACCAACCGACATAAATATCTCTGCATATTCTCTGCATAAATAATTTATTTATTTATGATTGTATGTTTACATATGTGACGGGCCTGATGGTCTAGTGGTTAGTTACCCTGACTGCTATGCAGGAGGTCGTGGGTTCGATTCCCACCCAGGACAAATTTTGTGTGATAAGCACGGTCAATTGTTCTGTGTCTGGGTGTAATTTATCTGTAATATGCCACACGAACCTTAAATTGCATTACTCAATGGCCCGATTATTTGCTGCATTTCAACCTTTTGCCAATATAATAGATATTAACTTTACATTCGTGCCTCGGATCAACAGAAATGTATTAGATACAAGAAATGTAAGCTTATAGGAGTTTATTTTTTTTTATGTTTCAATTTGATTTTGCTTCTCTTTGTTTTGTAAGTCTTATAATAACTTTTAAGTTCACATTATTTTTTGTAAATTGTTATTGCACTTTTGTTGGTCCATGCTGTGCCTACCTGTAAGTGGCGTGATGCTTAACTTTAAAATTTATATGTTTATAAATACATTGTAATAGTGTACTCGCCGTTGGTGGCCTAATAAATAAATAAATAAAATATGTATGTATTTAAAAAATATATAAGTATGTTTATCAGCAGTCTGATTACCATAGTACAGGCTCTACCTAGTTTGGGATCAGACGGCCGTGTGTGAGATGTGTGAGGTGTGAGGTATATACTAATTTAGTGCCTCCTTTTACCTGTACCTGAAATAACATGGTCCGCATTCTCCTCGGAGTACACCTGAGGTCGGTCGTCGGGGTCCCTTTTAGTTGAATCACCACATACTCCTGACTCCTGAGTCCCTGATGAGCAGGAGATCCGAAGGAGCCTATTCTTAAGTTAGGGTTGCCTGAATCAGGAGACCCCGTTCTTCCATAATAAAAATACTTAAACTTATGTTTATTTTATGTAAAGGACGAAATATCAAATATTTTTTTAAATTCTGTGTTCAAATATTTTAAATTCTATATTTGTAAAACAATAGTAATCTAACTCAACTTATAAAAGCAAAAGTGTGTTTCGAGTAGGTTTCAAAAAAAAAATTGATACACAGTATCAAGATTCAGTCATTCAGTGAATGGATTTCATCCAGAAAAAGTTACTGCTTCCGGTTCAACCCTGGCAAAAGTTACTAAATTATATTTTAATAATAATTACACTTTTATTGCATACATATTAAGTGTTATTGTGGCTTCCTATGTGTACCATAACATGTGCCAAAACTAGTTCAGTAAACAACAGGGTTTTACACCTCATTACTTCGACTTAATCCAAAGGACGTTACGTTACGTTTAAACATTACGCGACGACCGTGACACTGACAGATTTGAAAGACAGAATGGACCAAAACAGGTTTAATTGCGAAAACAAGAGGAAAGATGGGATATTAAATGTCGTTACGTGACATTAAAGTTTAATAATAGTCGAATATTGCCAAATTTATTTGAATAAGCTTTTTTATTCTTCAAAAGTCTTCATTATTCAAATAGCCGACACTTTGATTTATCAGGCAAAGGTACAATGAATTTATTTAAAAATTCGATGCCATTAACAACATTGTCGGACGTATAAACATCATTTAGACAATTGACATTGCCTTTTAGACAATTGACTATGTTGTTAATGGTAGCGATTTTTTTTTCTGATTTTGACATTTATTGATGATTATTATGTTGGTTTGATTACTATTGACTGCCTCGATGGTTCAGTGGTAGCGTATGTGACTGCTGTGCTGAGGTCTCGGGTTCGATTCCCGGGTCAGACCAAATATTTATATGACTTTTAACTAGTTGGGTGTTTTCTATATGTAATATATTTGTAATTAAAAAAAAAAGTATATTATTCTATCCGTCAATCTAGTTTTCATATATACTATGAAAACTAGATTAGCTCTGCTTAGTTTTAAACTAGATGGCGTTGTGTGTCAGATGGTCTAAAATATTATTATTATTAAAATTGTAGACCACCCACATCCGGTACAAGGACCAAGACACCAGTGGTTAGGACTCCAAAGATAGGAACCTCATCACTATACGGGCAATGTCAAGGAGAACTGCCTTCTGAATCAGACCCTAGATCCAACTGTCTAACGTGAGCCTCTTAAGGTGTTAGTCGAGGCTTTTGGCTATCAATCCGTGAGCAGATACAACTATCGGAACAATGATCACTGAATTGACATTCTACATATCGATCGATAATCGACCTATCAATACGATATCAGGCTCATTGGTAACAATAGTGCTGGCTGTGATAATAGATCGATCCCAATACAACGTTGCCCGACCATTCTCGAGAACTGGGTCGAGCACATACCAGTAGTATGACACCTCTAAATTCACAAGTTTGTATTTAAGGGAAAGCTGTTGTTGTATGATTCTGGCTACTTGGTTGTGCCTGTGCAAGTAATGAAACGAGAAGAACCAGAAATAATATGCCTGATTGATTCCCCAGAACAGTGGCATGCCCGACAAACGTCAACCGCACTATCTTTCAGGATACATATCCGATAGTTATTCGTCATGATAACTTTGTCCATAATGGCAAAAGCAAAACCTTCAGTTTCTCCGAAGAGATCACCATATCGTAGCCAAGACGTAGATGCTTTAAGTCTATATCGAACCCATTCAGGGCCTGATAAAACCGACCATGGAGCTTTTGCCCTTCCATACTTCCCTGCAATCATTAGTACTAAGTAGTACAGGTTTGCACCAATCCTCTTTAGCCAGAGCGAGCGGAGTAAGTCCGGTATCCACTGCAACTATATGATAATGCACTCCCATATCAGTATGTAGAAAATATTCTCTGAGACTATATATCTCGCGATTGTGTAGGGTCTTGATATTTAATAGTCCGCGACCGACAAACTTTTACGGGATATACATTCTTTTAACCAAAGAACGTAGGTTGTGCATTCTGAATGTCTTGTCAAGCGCATCTAATTTGATCTGAGTCAATCTAAGTATACCAAAGGAATACATCAAAACTAGCATGATCCAACCATTGCAGGTTGTACCCTAATAAAATACTTTTTCTTGACACAAACCTTATACCAAACCTCACCAGCGAGGTATAGTAGGCCATAACCTAGGCCTATGTCCAGCAGTGGACTATTATAGGCTGATGATGATTGATGTAGCAGATACCAGTTCAATTTTAACGCATGATTTAAGTTTCTTCAGTGTATCTGGTAAGATTAGTCGTGCCGTCTAAAAGGAATTTGAACCAAAGTTCGACTGTTAGGTATGTTAAACATACAAAACTATGGTCATTTTGTCGGCCTACTTATAA